TGTAGCCCTCATGGAGTTTTCTTCAATATCATGATCTAGAATCATTGTTTATAATATCTTTTATGTCAAGGAATATGCTCTATAGGTGTTCCAATTGCCTGATATTTAAATCAACTCAGTAATTGTTAATTGTGCACTTAATATACTCCAGACACTAGAGTAGGTCCTGGGGCTTCAACAATGCATGCTTCATCCCACCCCCATGGAGTGATGGTCTAGCAAACTCTAATATAAATCAATAAACACTCTGACAAAAATATAAATGAAATGTCATAGAAGAATGTCATTATTTCTGCCTGGAGGTTAAGAATCAGGGCATATTTCACAGAGGAGCTAACATTTTACCAGCTCTCTAATTTCCTAGTTAAAAAAAACAAAACAGAACAACAACAGAAAAAGAGAATGGTCAGTAGAATTGTCATTTTAATTTTAAAAAATCAGAACGAATGTGAAGCATTTCACACCTGTGATTTTTATTCGTGTTAGGACCAGTAGAAAAATAAAGGTGATGATGACAGGGATGATGATGATGATGGTGGTGGTGATGATGATGGTGATGATGATGATGATGATGATGATGGTGATGATGATGATGATGGTGATGGTGATGATGATGGTGATGATGAGGATGATGATGATGGTGGTGGTGGTGATAGTGATGATGATGGTGATGATGATGGTGATGGTGATGATGGTGATGATGATGGTGATGGTGATGATGATGGTGATGATGATGATGATGGTGATGATGGTGATGGTGATGATGATGGTGATGGTGATGATGGTGATAGGGATGATGATGGTGATTGTGCTGTGGATGATAGTGATGATGATGATGGTGATGATGGTGATGGTGATGATGATGATAGTGCTGCTGCTGATGACGATAATGATAGTGATGATGATGTTAATGGATGTTATTGATTGCCTACCCAGCAGCTGGTTGGGTACTCTTCCCCTTTTCTTGCTAATGCCTTAATTTTCTTTTGGTGTCTGTCCTTCTCCTGGTTTATAGCAATCATGTGGCTTTGGAGGTTGGCCAGGCTCAAGTGTGAGCTCTAACTAGTCTAAGTCTAGTAACAAGATCCCATCTCCCAGCCAGTGATTGGTTTAAGAACCCAAACCTGTGATAAACAGAATAGGCATTCCTTGTCCACAGAGATAGGTACAGGAAAGGGCACAAGACTAGATTTGGGCCAATGACATGTAAGGGGAATTTTGTGAAAGGGATTCTGGGAAATTTTCCTTATTCTTAAGGGAAAACCTTAAGAGAGCTCTCTCCTGCTAGCATTGGCAGACATACTAGGAATACTGTAGCCATCTGATTACCAGCCTGAAGATGAAGCTAGTACACACAGATATTCCCCACCCCCTCCTCCTTCTCCAAGAATCACAGAGGCATAGAGACAGAACCATTGAATTAACAAAATCCTAAAATCTATGTGACCTGTGGACTTCCAGGTATGAGAGTCTATACATGTTCTTATTGTTGAAACCTGTTTGACTTGACTTTTCCATTTCTTGCTATCAAAGGCATTCCAATTAATTTAATAATTAACAGCTGAGAATAAAAAGAGCCAGCCTAAGGATTAAGATGAGTAAGATGCAATAATATTTTAAAAGAATATGAGCAAAAACAATAAAAGTAGATAAGGGTGAAACCAGAGAACCTAAAATATTACAAAGCTAAAATAAATGAGAATGAAAAAGTCTAAGTAGAAAATAATTAAAAGTTACAAATCAATTTGGCAAAAAATCCTAAAATTGGGCAGAAGTGACAAACTGAATCCTTGAAAAACCATAAAAATTTTCTAGTGTACTGGTAAGGCTCTTTCGGATTAAAAGGAACAACTGATATGCACATTACTTTAAAAGTGATGAAGGTTTGATATAAGAGATGTTTTCAGCCAAGGGTTTGTTGTTAGTGCTGTGGAATTGATTCCCATTCCTAGTGACCCTGTGTACAGCAGAGTGGAACCCTGCCCAGTCTTCCCGCACCATCCTCTCACCTTCCGGCGCATGTCAGACAATGCTCTGCTGCTATTCATAGGGTTTTCATGGCCAAATTTTTCGGAAGTGGGTGGCCAGGTCCTTCTTCCTAGTCTATCCTAGTCTAGAAGCTCCGCTGAAACCTGTCCACAATGGGGGACCCTGTTGGTATTTGAAATACCAGTGGCATGGCTTTCAGCATCACAGCAACACATAGCTGCCACAGCATGACAACTGACAGACAGGTAGTGTGGTTCCCTGACAGGGGAAACAAACCTGGGCTGCAGCAGTGAGAGCACAGAATCTTAACCACTAGACCACCAGTGCTGACTAGCCAAGAAAACAAAACAGAAATATCTGTCAAGGTGGTGGCAGCTGTTACAAAATGCGTGTTACTCTCCCTGCGTGTGTCTTTTCCTGTTGTATCTCTATGTGTGCGTTGCCTGTTTCTCTCTCTGTGCATATCTCTGTCTGTGAGTCTTTCTGCCTACCTGTGTGTATGTGTCTCTGTGAGTCTCTCTTTCTGTTTCTCTCTGTCCCTCTGTATCTCTATGTATCTCCTCTATGTCTCTGTGTCTCTCTATATGTGTAGTACATTTGTATATTTCTCTCTATGGTTGTGTGTCTATGTCTATCAGTGTGTATCTCTTTGTCTGCCTGTATCTCAGGATGTGTTCACTTTTTGGGTCTCCTGGTCTCCTTATATCTCTATGTTGCCTTTTCTCTGTTTGTGTGTCTCTCTGCGTGAATCTCTTTATGTGTATCTCTCTTCTTGACACTGGTAATTGAGAGTAGAAACAAACTCAAAGAGACCCTCTGCTCCTCCTCTGTCCGTACCTAAAACAAACAAGAACATGTAAAAGATGCATCCAAATTCCAGGGACTTAAGTGAGTGATGAAGGAGGCTTGGTCAGAGCACTAAAATCACCAGAGAAGAAATGAGTCCCTCATTTGATGAGGAGACCCTGTGTCTCTGAGTGCCTTATGATCGCGCAGTATCAGACACACCTGTTCAGCCTTCGTCCCAAACTCACTCAGTGCAGGACAGAAAACTCCCAACACTAAGAGCAAATTTGTTATCATTTCAATGATCCTAATCATAAAGTAATCCTGCTTCATGCAAATATCATTACATAGTCATGTCCTTCCAACTCCTTATCGACTCTTGTAATCCCACACGGCCATCGAGCTTAACCCCACCGCACATCCACCAAGGGATATCTGCAGCTTCCTTCATTTACACAGCACTTTTGTGCAGTGCCTACCTTGCAATGTGGCAGGCAGCACCCTCTTCTGCCCTATTTCGCCCTTGCACCTAAAGGTAGTGTGTGCATTTTCTTTCATGAATTCCTCACTCTGAAACGTGTCATGTCCTCATCCAGATGTTGTGTAGTTTTTCCTCCTTAGTTCCTTGCAGAAGTGCTTCCAGCTTGGCCCTTCCTTACTTGTCTTCTGCTCCTGGTCAGATCTTTATTCCTCCCCTACCAGCCTTTTTTCAGTCTTCAGAAATTTCAGCACTAACACCATGTCTCCATTTCTTTACGAAGAGTCTTTCTAGAATTTTTCGATAAAATACAGTTCTGATATTTCCAAAGGTAGTTTTTAAATATATTAACCCAAAATATGGTTAATGAGTCAGATGATAAGGGATGGCAGTGATCTGTAGATCTCTGGAAAGGAAAGGACTGGATGCTAAAGCCCAGGTTCCAATCTTGGAGCCGGCTGTGTGGCCTCGGAGGAGGTAACATCTCTAGGCCACTCTTGTCCATGTGGAAAATGAGGAATGAGACCTTATAATTGTTAAGATAGCGTCGATCCCTAAAAATTTCTAGTCGTCATAGAAACCAATTTTCACTGAAATAAGAACATGTTCAGAATTACCATTATGACACTTAAGGATTTAAAAATCACAACCCTCTATGCTCATGTTCCCAATCAATCAAACATTAGTTTCCTTTCTCAAAATAAATTTGCATTTATATTTTGCACATGATTCCTAATTTGGTTTAGTTTGTGCTTTCTAATCTAGACTTTTGTAAAACTTTTACTGAAAAATAATCCAATTGACTAGAACTTATTTCTCTGCTAAGAGGCAGAATAAGTCCTTAATTTCAAGTCTCTTTATGAATTCCAACAACTTAGTTTATATTCATTTATTTACAGTACATTAGCTGCCTTTTTTCACACACGAGAAGTTTGAATCTAACTTATTTAGGCTAGAGCAAATTTACTGAGATCAAATGCAGTATTTGGCTTTTTAATCACAAAACATCAATGTTATTTAAGACAATGGAATATCAAGTATATTAATGCCTTTTGGCTCTGTAACTAGTTATCCTGAAAATGAATTTGTTATCTTCTTGGAAGTATAGAATGCTATATCTTCGTGCTTTTAAAAGATCTTTTCTAAAAAATCATTTCATTTCAAGATCACAACCAAATAATGTAGTAAACATATTGCAAAAATCAGAAAGAACCATGAATATAAGACTCTTGGTTAATTAACCCTTGAATAGGGAGAGGAGTAGAATGTTGATTAAACAGTGTTGAAATAATTTCAACGGGCATATCTAAGAACATAAATTTTGGAATTTGAGATAATTTTAAAAGACTTCTGGTTTCAGAGATTTCAGCCATACGTGCTAAGTCTTAAGTCACAGTGCATAAGAAAGCTCTGCTGTAGCACAAAACGTTCAACTAACTTAAGCTCATTAGCCGGTGTAAAGAAAAATAATAAAAGTAAAGAGAAAACATAAATGAATCAAATCCCATAATTTATATGTTTCTGATTTCCTATGTCTTTACTTTTATCTAACTGCCATATGATGATAACAGTGAATTAAAACATCGCTATAATTGTGTTTTTCCATTACTCTTAGTATCTATAACAGAATTTTTACTTTATGTGTTGGAATGCCTTGCTATTTGTTGGATATAAATAGATTCAGTATTGTCTGTCTATGCCTTTCATCATTACATAAGTCTGCCTTCTTATTTGACTTTATGATATTTCCCTTAAATTTTACTGATTTAAATATGAGGAGAAAAACAATGGTGGAAACAATAATATCAGACAGATAGTTTTGTCCACTGTTTTATCCTAACCTTTGACTTTTACTCTAAGCACGTCTTTTGTATATGCAAAAATTTAGATAAATTACTTTATTTTTGATCTGCATCCTGCCTTTGGACTTTTGTAACTGGCCTTTTATCTATCTCAAGAAATAAGAAGTACACATCTTAAATGCCCATTATGTTTCCAAGAATTGTGCTAAACATTAAGGATACTATATAAAAGATACTGGCACCAGGTTTTATTCAGCTTTTTGTCTTTTACTGAATTAACCATGATTTTTTAAATTTAGAAATTTAATCAATTTATAGCATTAATGATATATATACATATATATATATATATATATCTGTGGTGTTGATTATCTTAAAAACTTCTCTGGCTATTATTAATCCTTTATACAACTCAAATAGCCCACAATAACTTCAGATCCGACTATATGGGAAAGAGAAGTGGTATATTTTATGGTTTTATCTTTTCAGTCCCCTGCCATCCTATTAATCTAATTGGAACTATGAAAACATTGCTGTGGGTTTTTGTATTGTGTATTTTTTGTAATGTGTTTGTTTCAATGCTCAGATAATTCTAACCAGCTACAGTTATTGCTTTCAGTGTTCTTATTTCCTGAACTCTTCTATAAATGGGTCTGTCAGCATTTGTTTTCATCAGCAACATCCCTGTTCAAAAATTCTTTCTGAAATTCAGGCTTCAATAACAGGAGGAATTTCCTTAATAAAATTTTGGTAAAAGGGCATATTTCATAACTATCCAAAGACATATCTGATAATTCTTTCTTATGCTTCCATATACAAAGATCAATACAGCTGCATATGCAATTCTTGAAACATGCCCTTCTCTCCCAGAATTTCTCATTTAACTCTACTTTTTATTTATTTCCAAGTAGCATGATTTTTCTCCTTATTAGCTTACATATTTATCTTATATTATATTTATAATTTTATGAGATGATATGGCAGTCATGAGGACTCTCACGAATATCATGCTTCATCACGTTTTCTAGGCACTTAATAGGATTATACTTCTCTGCCTTTTTCAATTTAGACATGGTCACGTAATTTGCTTTGGCCAACAACAACAAAAAAACAACAAAATTGAAGTGACATACGGTATTTCCGTGTGAAAGCTATAAAGGCGTGTGCAAATCACCTTCTTGTTGATGGAACTTTTGTCAGCCAGAGTCCCTGAGGGACTAGAAAGGCAGAGTCCTTCCCTTCCCCAAATAGTATTCATTGGACTTATAGGATAAGCAAGAATTTAATTTTTTTTTTTTATGTTCAGATTTGGAAGTTGGTTGTTTCTTCAACATAATTGTTTTATCTTGACTGACGAGGACTATATCTTGTGATCAGTGTTCTTTGTTAATTGTAGATACAACCCAGTGAATCCTATCTATTTTGGGATACTTTTTCCTATTCAATTAAGAGGAAGTATCTTCAACTATATGTGTGATTATCAGTCCTGTGCTAGTTAGTCTTTCTTCTCATCTAATAATATCTAGTACTCAAAGGTCAGATCTCTGAGAGTAGTTTTTCAGATCCATCATCTCTGTGGAGAGCTAAATAATATTCCTAATGGTTTGTATTTTGGTGAAGCACAAAGAGACACGGTTTGGATAGTGAGATCTAATGGATGTTCCTCTCATCTCTTAACTCTTTAAGGTTCTAGATAACTCTCACACTTATTTTCTTTTGTCCAGCTTTGTTCTATCCAGTATAGATTACACCTTTTACTGATTTCAACAGAATTTTTAGCCCATTTAGTGCAACATTCGTTATACTACAATATTTTCAAAATCTGCTGTCTGATAAAGGAGATGGTCACTTCAAGCACTAATTACTTGTATTCAAAGTACTCAGGTAAGAAAACCCTTGAACAAATCCCTAAGGAATATCAGGGCCCAGGCAATAAAGCTAAACATAAAGAGCTGATAAGGTAGCGGATTGGTGTGTAAACCTACAAAGACTGGCAGAAAAACACTGGAGAGTGAGTGGAGGTTGATAATGAGTTTGCCAGGGATAGAGCATGTCAGATATTGTTTGTATCTTATATCCTTTACCTTCAGAAAAATCTCCCGATACGCAATTTTACAGATGAGAAAACTGAGTTCAGAGAGGTTAAAGATTATGATGGGATCTCACAGAGCAAGTAACCTGCAGAGTTTATAAATTAAACTCGTCATTATTCCTACACCACATTGCCTTCTGGGAAGCAGGAGGTTTTTCATTTAGGGCCAAGGAATATGGCCTCTAGGAAGCTTAGTAATGTTTTTCTTTGTCTAGTTTATGTCCATATATTTCCTCTGTGTTTATTTCCTTGTGCTCCCAGGAAGCAGATAGGGCACACACAGCAGGGGACAGCATTTCCAGATCTAGGTGATGTTACTCTGTTGCTCCCCATGGTTTAATCAGGTGAAATATTCATGATCCCTGCTTTTACTTCAGCCTTTCCTCCAGAGGGTCACCCAGGACCAGGCAGTGACAATTCCGGCTACCTGGCTCCTTTTGCTAGAAGGTGACTTCTGACCAGGTACTAATCAAAAGTTCTCCAACTCTTTTTACTCCATAAAATATTTTAGTACCAGGGTTAATTCCCAATAACTTTTTTTTTTCTGAAAGTGATTATTTGGGAGCAAATTGAATGAGGAGAGGCAATCTATATCTAAGTTGATGTAAGGCATAAAAATATTAGACAGGAAGCTAGAGATGAGAGCAAAGGAAGCTCTGTAGGTAAATACCTAGGGATTAGCAAAAATTCCTGGAAGAAATTTTGGCTTTCAAAGACTGTGGAATTGTTGGATCTAAGCCAAAATCACCAATACAAATTGTAATCTCTCTTTCATAGTTTCACTTTCTTTGTTTATGAGTTGCATTATGAATAATCTCTTCATATTCTTTTTATTCTCTGCAGCTATGCTTTATCTTCATTTAAATATATCAGATAAGTTTCAAATTTGGGTGGTTATGTTATGTATCCCTTTAAAAATATTCCTGATCATTTTTGATTGCCTCATCTCTGCATGATATTTTCAATCTTCTCCATTATTTCTTTAAACACTTTAAACATACTTATTTTGTACATTGATCGCTATATTTTTAGTAGCTGTGCTCTATGGATATCTCATTCTGCAGTCTGTAGTTTCTGTTGACTCCTTATTGGATTATTGCATTTCCTCATCTGTTTCCTAGATTTAACTATGAGCTGTTTGGTGGAACTTTAATTTTGGGAATCCTCAGGGCCTACAGTGAGATGATTTATCTTTGTTTCTGCCAGTACTAGGGAGCTCTATCAATCTGGGCACAAAACTTTTAAATTTTGTCTCTTGATTTAGATTTCACAGCATGAGAATGTGGTGTAATTCAAATTGCAGGCCTGCATGAGAGAAGGGGCTATGGATACAAATTATTGGGGAAGACAATATTCTTTCACCACCAAAGTCCAAGAGGCACAGCTACGCTTCTTTTTGTTTCATTTGGCCAGTGTGCAGATTTGTCTATGCGCCCCCTTTCCATCAAGATACAGTTATTTGGGTGCCTGTCTGGATGTGGAGACTCTCAGGTTCAGCTCCCTGACTCATCAGGCCCAAGTCCTATTTCACAGCAGGGCTGAGGGCCAGCAAAGCTCGTGGTTTCTGGGTTGGGCACTCTTCCAGGGAAGCCCTGGCTGCTGTGTGGATTTTACAGTCCAGATTTAGCTCAAAGTTTTTTGTACCATTTGTGTATGTGTAGGTTTTTTTTTTTTGGTGGTGTTATAGTTCATGGAGGACTTTTCTTACTGTTTCATGAGCTCTGTAATGCTTTTCTTTTTTTTTTTTTTTGTGAGGAAGATCAGCCCTGAGCTAACATCCATGCTAATCCTCCTCTTTTTGCTGAGGAAGACCAGCTCTGAGCTAACATCTATTGCCAATCCTCCTCCTTCCCCCGCCCCCCACCAAAGCCCCAGTAGTTAGTTGTACGTCATAGTTGCACGTTGTAATGTTTTTCAAAGTATGCTAGCTCTACTTTAAGCAGTATTTCGGAGTCTTGCAGAGGAAGGGTATTTCAGAATAGCTGGTCTTATTAAACTACTGCAACAGAAATGCCACGAATTTTGTTGTTTTGTAAAAAATTAGATTTCACATCAAGCTCACTAGCAAATTTTAAATCCAACTCCAAGCAAAATACGTGTGGGGGTTTGCTATAACTTTACGTATTTCAAATTTTTTTTCAGAGTCAGACATGAAAATTATTTCAACTGTCAAATAGTTCTATCAGTCTTTAAAAAAAAAAGAGCAGTTTCTTTCCCTCACGTTCTTCTACCATAAGTCCATCCTCCCAGAGGCAACCACATTAAACTTTTAGCTATTTCTCATTACTGGCCTCCATATTTTTATATAATATTTTTATCAATATTTCTTAATTTAAATCATTTAATTTGACCTCTTTCTGTGGACAATAAGGATTTGACCTTCTAAACCCCCTCGATTTTCATTTAACTATCATTTAAAAATAATTATATCATAATTTTGGTTAAATCAATTTTCAGAATTTACATTATTATGACTTTATATTCAGTACAGGGCCAAATAATATTTCCTATTTATGTTTCCTTTCCTATACAACACACTGTTTTACTTGGAGTCAATAATTTTCTCATATATTTACTTAAATGGTTTCTTACATACCTATAGTCTCTCAAGCCTGCTTACTACATGGCCAGATCATGGAATAATCTGCATTTTTCCCTGAAGTCCCCCCTCCTACAACTATCCATTCTACTAGCCCAACAGGGAGAGCTTCACAGCTGTCGTCTAGAAACTTTGCCCTTCTCCTATTACTGGAACCCTATTTTCTGGACCCAATATTTTCCTTTTCCTTCGTGGTTTTTTGCTTTCTAGTTTTAGTAGAAACACCTCCTCAATGGCTTCCTAGGAGATATGCATGTGTTACTGCACA